TGGGGTCACCAGAACCAGGTTCTGAATGGTAATCAATAATTATCAAAAATTATGGCCTGTCCAATATTAATATTAGTTGGCAGTAACCCATCTTATTTGGCTTGCCCCACCCAGAATGGCCCAAAGCATATTCTTGGTTCTGCCTCAAATCCAACATGCCCTTCAACAGAATTGAGGTATGGCTGTTGAGTGGTTCATCATCTCCATGATGATTTGACATTAATGACAATTTGGGTTTGGCTCCCAAATACCTTGAAGGATTTTTTGGTTTTGGTTTTTGTGGGAGTGTTTTTGGACCTAGGAAACCAGACAGAAATAGGACAAGGAAAAGGAAAGGATTTCAGTGTTCACTGAAGGAAGTTTGAATTCCAATTCCAAAGAGCTGAGAAGCAGTGTTTAGAAAAGAAAAATAGACTTGAAGTCAGAAGACATGAGTTTGAGTACCAGCTCTGTCATACACTATTTTGTGTGACTCTAAGCAATTTCCTCATCTGTAAAATGGAAATAATACTTGCAGCCTCATGGTCTGTTGTTAGGATCAAAATAGATAAGTTCTTTGTCTATGCAGACATACGGAAGAAGGGGGCTGATATTGGCTCTACTTATTTGACCTTTGGTTTTCACCAACTACTATTTTATTTGATGCCAATCTACTGAGCAGTGACCAATCAGTATAAGTAAGAATTCAAGAGTATGGTAATCGATTAGCATTGTATGCCACCTGTGTTACCACGCAAAGTACATGAACAGAGCATCAGTGTTACCATGACAGCCTTTGTCGACTTAACCAAACCCCTGTTGCTGTCAAGTCGATTCCCACTCATAAGGACCCTATAAGACAGAGTAGAACTGCCCCATAGGGTTTCGAAGGAGCAGCTGGTGGATTTGAACTGCCGACCTTTTGGTTAGCAGCCAAGCTCTTAACCCCTGTGCTACCAGGGCTCCTTGTGGACTTAAAATGATATTAAATTACAAATCCATCAGGAAATAGGTCATCTGTCTGCTTCTGTGTTCACCATGCCCCATGAATCCTGTATTCATGCAGAACTAAGCTTGTGCTTGGAAGTTATGAAGAAGCAGACTAGTGCATTTGGGAGTGAAAGAATTGGTTAAGCACCTGATACTGGGCTTTGGTTCAGCCATTTAGGCAAGTGACGGAATCTCTCTGAGCCTCAATTTCGTTTGTATGAAATGGGATGATAATGGTAGTGGTAGTTGGCTATATTGTTATGGCTGCTGTTTATTGAGCAATAATCTGAAGAAGGAAGCTATTCAGATTATTTTAGGGATTAAATCTATTCAGATTATTATAAGGATTAAATGAGAAAATGAATGTAACACACTTGAGCACAGATAATAAATACTCAGTAAATAACAGCTATAACAATACAGTACTCTCCCCTTATCAGCAAGTGATACATTCCAAGACTCCCCCAGTGGATGCCTGAAATAGTACCAAACCCTTTTTCCTTCTTCACAATTTCATGAATAAAAGATTCATTCTTACAACCTGATCGTACAATTTTTTTTCTTTATTATGTCGAGAACTTTCACCTTTCCACTTAAAGGAAGCACTTTACGGCTTTTCTTTGGCATATCCAAATCTCCAGCATCACTACTCTTGTGCTTTGGGGCCATTATTAAGTAAAATAAGGATTACTGGAACAAACATGGATATGCTGGACAAAGGGATAATTCACATCCCAGGTGGGACGCTGCAAGATTTCATCACGCTACTCAGAACAGTGCATAATTTAAAACTTATAAATTGTTTATTTTTGGAATTTTCCATTTAATATTTTCAGACCATGGTTGACCTCAGCTAACTGAAACCATGGACAGCAAATCCACAGATAAGGAGGGACTACCATTAGAAAGAGGGTTTAAATGTCCCAATTTGGCTTCTGATTCTTAATTAAGGTCCAGCAAATTTGTGAGTAGCAGAAAATTTCCCGTCCAGTTTCATTAAGTTTATGTTCACCTGGATATTATTTAAAAAAACAACTTGATTATTCAAGAGATATAGGGGCATTTGGCTTCTATTCGTGGGAGAGTTTTCCTTTCCCCATCAGCTTAACAGTCAGTCCCCAGGTTCAGCGATGCAGAGCTTAGGACAAGGTCAGAATAATACATCACCACTCAATCCTGCTCAATGGGTAACTCTCACAACAATTCTTCTTTTTTTTCCCCAATACAAAAATTTATACATACATTGTTATGTGACTCTAACTGCTCTCCCCATACTGTGACAGCACACTCCTTCTTTCCACCCGATTCCCCATGTCCGTTCAACCAGCTCCTAACCCTCTCTGCCTTCCCATCTCACCTCCGGACAGAAGCTGCCCGTTTAGTCTCTTGCATCTACTTGAGCTAAGAGGCACACTCCTCACGACTATCACTTTATGTCCCACAGTCCAGTCCAATCCCTGTCTGAAGAGTCGGCCTCGGAAATTGTTTTAGCTCTGGGTTGATAGAGAATCCAGGGGCCATGCTTTCCGGGGTTCCTCCAGTCTCAGACCATTAAGTCTGGTCTTCTTACTACAATTTGAGTTCTGCACCCCACCTTTCTCCTGCTCCATCCGGGACTCTGTTGTGTTCCCTGTCAGGGCGGTCATTGGTGGTAGCTGGGCACCATCCAGTTCTTCTGGTCTCAGGCTGATGAAGTCTTTGGTTTATGTGGCCCTTTCTGTCTCTTGGGCTAATACTTTCCTTGTGTCTTTGGTGGTGTTCTTCATTTTCCTTTACTCCAGGTGGTTGGGACAAATTGATGGATCTTGGATGGCCGCTCACTAGCTTTTAAGACCCCAGACGCCACTCACCAAAGTAGGATGCAGAACATTTTCTTAATAAGCTTTGTTATGCCAACTGACCTCCATGTCCCCTGAAAGCATGGTCCCCAGATCCCTACCCCTACTACTCTGTCCCTCAAAGCGTTTGATGGTATTCAGGAAACTTCTTAGTTTTTGTTTAGCCCTGTTGTGCTGACTTCCCCTGTAGTGAGTGCTGTCATTCCTTTCACCTAAGATAATTCTTATCTACTATCTAGTTAGTAAATAACCCTCACCCTCCCCATCCTTGTAACCATCAAAGAATGTTTTCTTCTGTGTTTAAACCTTTTCTTGCGTTCTTATAGTAGTGGTCTGATACAGTATTTGTCCTTCTGTGACTGACTAAATTCACTCAGCATAATACCCTCCAGCTTCCTCCATGTTATGTTTCACAGCTTCATCATTGTTCTTTATCGTTACATAGTATTCAATTGTGGATATACCATAATTTGTTTATCCATTCATCCACTGATGGGCACCTAGGTTGTTTCCATCTTTTTGCTATTGTGAACAGTGCTGCAATGAATATGGGTGTGCATATATCTATTCATGTGATGGCTCTTATTTCTCTAGGATATATTCCAAGGAGCAGGATAGCTGGATTGTATGGTACATCTATTTCTAGCTTTTTAAGGAAGCGCCAGATCGATTTACAAAGTGGCTGTACCATTTTGCATTCCCACCAACAGTCATAGCAATTCTTGAAGGAAGGAGCTACAGGGTCTCTTCATGTTTCCGTGATGAGGTCCATGGCCACTTCTTTCTTCTCCCACAAAATATTCCATAGAATAAGGAACCAAAGCCCATTCTTGTGTGACAGGGGTGGCAACAACAATTTCAGACCTGGTTCCTGGCACATTTTCATGTGTAAATACCATGACAGCACAGAAGCATGCTATTCTACACCAACGGTTAAGTGCTCAACTACTAACCAAAAGGTTGGCAGTTTGACCCCACCCAGTGGTGCCTTGGAAGAAAGGCCTGGTGATCTGCTTCCAAAAAGTCATAGCCTTGAAAACTCTATGGTGTACAGTTCTACTCTGCAACACATGGGGTCACCATGAGTCAGAATTGACTCAATAGCAACTGGTTTGATTTTTTTCCCCCTACCCTAATGCAGCTCTCATTAAATTAAATCCTGGGACAATAAGATATGGCATGGCTTTAAACCTCAGTGAGCATCTTTATGGTGTAATCATCTAGTGCATTCAGTTGTTAACAGAAGGTTGGTTGTTTGAACTCAGGGATTTTCTTGTTTCCAGCCAGTTTTTTGGTGATGAAAATGTTCTGTAACTAGTGGCAATGGTTGCATAACACTGTGAATGAACTGTACATGTTAAAATGGCGAATTTCATATTATGTGTATTTTACCACAATTAAAAAAAAATCAATGGATGCTTTGGAGGATGCATTTTCCAAGCCCTGAGTTATAACTGTATTTTTTTTTTTTTTTTGGCCTGACATGTATATACCTACCTTGTAGTATGCCCTGATATCTGAACACTTATATGTACATCAGCTTTTAAAAAATCTCTGGTCTGGGTGTTCCACTCTGCAGCATTTTGACATCACTCAGGAATATGTAACTCATCCATGTCCCTATTTTTGATTGGATTAAGTATCATATTAACTGTACAAGCACATAAAGTCCTTGCAAGACTCTTTGGCTCTAGTACGTATTAGCCTAGTCTAGAAAATTCTCCCACCCAAAGGACAGGCTGGGAATGGGATGAATGTCTGCCCTCTCCAGAGGCATTTATAAGGTTTTTTTAATAAACAAGAAGCAGGACAGAGAAAGGGACTTTTAAAGAGTACAACTGCACCAGTTCCTGAGATTCTTTTTTTAATCAGCTAAACTTCCCAGTATAGGACCCAAGACTTACAAAATCTTTTAGAAAAAGTCAATATTGTTCTTTTAGAAAGAAAAGTCATGAAAAATGGCAGATTTCAAGACCTATACAAACACAGAATATGAAGGAGAAAGGGGCAATTGGGAAAGACTCACAATGGAGACAGTGTCTGCCAGGAAGTCCTTGAGGCAAAGGGTGGTGAATACCTCCCAAGGAAAGGCTTCAGCAAAAGTCAAGGAAGCTTCATGCTGGTCAAGACACCCTGGCGATCAGGGAAGGATGGCCTTGTACACAGCCGTGGAGGAAAGTGCTCCCTGGGCAGTTTTTTTTTTTTTTTTTTTTCTCATTCCAGCCAGCAGATTTCAGCTGCTCCTGCTATTCCACTTATTTCTGGAAATATGAAGACTTGTGAAAGATAATCGAGCCTAGGATGAACACTATGGCCAGCACCAGGGAGAAGGCCACCATGAGGGAGATGTAGGTGGGGCGGGAGAAAGGTTTGGGCTGTGGCAGCTCAGCTGGGATCATGTTGGTCAGGTTTAGCATGTAGCCTAAAGTCCACCCGGCTTCGGCGTTGTCATTGATCTGCAAACAGTGGGGAAAATCTTTTATTTGTTGGTCCGAGGAGACAATCCACAGACTTCATGAAACTCCATCCATAACACTGAGCAACCACTAGTTGGAGGGCACCATGTTCAGTTATCTAAATGGATTAATATTATATACTAAACTAGGAATATGGTTGTGGGGAAAATATAACAGCAAGTGATTAAGGAGAGTTGGGGGCCTTACTATTACATCCCCATACTCAAAAAGGAATTAGTGAATGCCTAATTCTCCTGCCTAGAAGAACTTAATTAAAACAGGCCTTTGGAGATTTGTCTTTGTTACTTTTGTGAGTGTGGGGGTTGGGGGGATGGGAAGCAGGCAAGAGAGTAAGGGAATAATGACTGGCCTTTCACATCCTTGTCAAGCCCAGGGAACTCTATGTATAACCAGGAATTCTTTAGGATTCAACTAGAGAAACATTGGGCAATAATCCCAGCAAATCAGTCTCACTTTGTGGAAATCTGAAGACTATACATATGTATGAGAAAGGATTCTTATTAAATGATAAAACACGCTCTGACCCTGCCATCTTCCTAGGAATATTTGTCACCTCAAAAGTTGCTGGAATGCAGGTAGTCTATGAATAATTTTGGAAACGTTTTTATTATATGAGTTATGCATGGTCATGGTAGAAAAATTAGGAAGTACACATAAGCCTAAAGAAGAAAATAAAAATCACCCATATTTAACCACTCAGAAGTTGCTGCTGTTATCATTTTATGACATATCCTTCCAATCCTCTCACAAAAAATAAGGAATTAAATTGTATGTGTAGTTATTCACTTAACAATACATTGTGAACGTCATCCCATGTGTCTTAAGATATTTCTACAACACCATCACTGGCATGAACTGTCTTACATGTTCATTTTTACTCACTTTATTCAATTATTTATGCATCCCAGAAATGGAGTAATTGGATAATATGATGTGTATATTATTAAGGTTCTTGGCACATATTGCCAAAATATTCTCCTGAAAGGTTGTGCTAATTTGTACTCCAACCAATAACACCTGGAAATACCCTTTTCCCCCAAATCCTTACCAATACTGTAAATAAATAATTTGTAACATATCTACTTCCCTCTGTGGGGGATGTCTTATCTGACTGCGTGTGTCAATTAAGGGTCCAGAGTTGGGGAGTTATTGCCTAGGGGTTAGAAATACTGAGTCATTCATCAGAGCTCAAAGAATATAAATCAGGACTGCTCTGCACATCAATCTTAAATTACACCTAGACAAAGCCTTCAAATAAACAAAAACACATGACGGAATGGAAGGGAGGCTGGGATATTAAAACAAGCATCCTCAGGGATGCCACAGTCCTTTGTCTCAATGCTTTATTTTGCTTAAAATCACAATATTTAATAAAGCAGGTAAAATTTTTTGCCATTAATGGGCATGGATTTAACAAGATAGAGAAACAATGCTCCTGATATTTTTTCATCATACATGAGTTGTGCAGCTGATGTAAATATTCCTTTACGATTGGCTAATTGCAAGTGGTGCTGCAGTAAAGCACAGTAGTGAAGTTGCTTCTTCAGGGCTCATGTTTCTAAGCAATGGCCCATTCAAACCACTTAGACCCCTTCTTCACATAAAACTTTCAGATTGGTCAACCTTGAAGCTGTTGGTATTAAAAGCCACAGCAAACAAGGCCTTCACCTCTTACAAGAAACCATAATCATCTTTTCCTGACTTGAGGAAAGGGCCCTTGGGATGGGTATTAGAGTCAGCACACAGGATCACTGTGGCTACTGAAATGCTGTTACATCACTTTAATATCACATTTTTTTGTTTTATAAGGTATTAGTCACTGTTATGTGAGCAGAAAGGTGATGCTGATAATACAGGAAGCTACAACTGGCCAGTCAACATACCCAGGACGGCTTGACACCAAATGCCACCTTGGGTTGGAGATGAAGTGGTGGAACAAGACCTCAGGCCAAAACTTAAATCAGGCTGGCTCCCACCTCTTTTAAGGCCAAAACTGCTTCAGTCACTACCAACAAACCGCCCCCCCCAAAAAAAAATCCCATTGCCATCAAGTCATCGAGTCAATTCCAACTCATAGCAACCTAACAGGTACCCAAATTACCTTGTGCATGAAATGAATGTGTTTCCAGTAATCTGTGAAATTATAGACTTGCAGGAGGGTTAAAACATAGGTGCCAGAAAAGCAGTATTCACTCAGATACTTCTCCTTCACATCAGCGTAAGTTGTGTTCACCTAGAAGTGAAGGCGATATCATACTTACACAACAGGTACCATCTCTCTGTAGCCCTCTTTGCCACTATTAGAGAGAAGAGAAAGCCCACAGCCCACATGGGCCTGAGGGTTGGCCTCTCCCAGAGGGCTTTAGGGGTGGCGCTACAGTCCTTCAATGGGTGAAAGGGTTTATAGTTTAAGGTTTGTTAAGGAAGCTCTTCATCCACAATGTTTTATGAGGTGTTGATAGGTGCTGGGGTGCGGACAGTGGGTGGGGATATAGTTCCTGTGGTTTAGAAGGTTCAGAAATCTTGAATATCCCATTTTATATCCCCATTCATCCTCAAAACTTGGAGAGTCACAATCACATTAGCATATTAAAAGCTGTGAAAATCCTGCATTAAAGAAATCCATTAATCTTTGCTTAATTAGAGTTTTCTATATACTCTTGACTAGAGTCTCTACAAACATCTTAAGGAAATAGTGTCATAAAAAGCCTTGCCACCCCGTTTTGTCCCTGGAATGCTCAGCATTCACATCCCCTGGGAGCTTGTCAGCAGTCCTCATCCCAGACCTACCAACTCAGAATCTGCATTTTAACGTGCTCGCCAGATGATCTGTGTACACATTAAAGTCTGAGAAGCACAGCTCTGGAAGACAGTTTAGGGAGCATTTTGCTAAAGACTGCTAAAAGTACCAACATCTCACCTTCTATTCTCTGTCCTTACTAGCCTCTTTTCTGCATCTGAGTCATGAAAAGGGGTCCCCTTCTTGAGCCCTTCATGAGTTTATTCACCCTACTTCTGAGTAAAGATATTAGAGTGAAAAAATTAAGGGCTGCCTGCTGACCCCTGCCCTTACCTATCCCAGCTATTGTGAATATATACCCAGATGTCCACGGCCTACTCTCCTCCTCTCATGCCCTCAATTAGAGAGCAACAGGCCAGGACATCTCTAGCTCAGCCCAAAGTTCTGTCTACTGCCCTATTGCTCAGCCCTTGAGATAGGCATTCCCTCCTGAACTAGAGGTTAGAGAGAGAACTAAGCTTATGTCATGTACTAGGAACTATGCTAGATGTTTTACACGTAGTGTCTCCTGGCAGGTGCCTGTCCCCTGCTTTACCCAGATTCCTCTCCCAAGAGACATCCTATCCGAATCACTAGATACTGGCTGGGGTCTACTCCTCACTTGGCTCCTGCTGGCCCTCAGTCTCTGGAAGACTAAGACCACACTTAGCCTCCCTTGTTCTGCTCTAATGGCATTTTTGGAAATACCCAGATTGGAACCTGTCTTTCCATCACAGTCCTTGAAACTAGTCCCTTTAATAAACTCTTCCGCATGTGACATCATCCTGACACCATGGTGTGGACATCAGTTGACTTTTCCTGCCCAGGATCCCTACCCTTTCCTTTCAGTAGCTGTACCCTGCTTTTCTTTGGTGGAAATACCTCCTTCCCCATTCCATGTAGTCTTGGTGGGTCTGTCAAACAAAGAATCCCTATGGGATATGGAATTCCAAGAATCCACTTGGGCCTGACTTCAATCTGCTGCATCCCCATAAGTTCTTGAAGGCTAGCCTCTTTCTTAGGGGAGGGGAGGAAATGCCATTTTGGCCTAATTTTCCTGAATTCTTCAACATTCATATCTCCTTCTCCTTCTGGAAAGCTACACATTGGCTTTACAGTCTAACCTGCTAAGGGTTAATTATGATAGTAGTCAGCAATATAGATGCAAAGGCATACACCTGGTTTATCAATCACCAAATAATAAGAATTTATCATGTTATTGTTTGTGGACTTACTGCCATGTGCTCTTCAAATGCAAGGATGAGTCCTTCTCCTCTCTCTCTCTCTTTCCTTTTTCCTTTCTATTCCCAGGGCAGTGGGACAGTACAAAGTTCTCTCCCTCTCACTCATTTCCCCTCAGCAGTCCCCATAGAAAGGGGTATGGCATGCAACAAGAATGAGATGCATTTCCCTAGAAAGGCTAAAAACTCATGAGGTTGAATGTCAGGACCCGGAAATACCTAGCTATCAGTATACATAGAATCTTACAGCATTGCTCTATTGGGCTAGTCTTTGCATGACCAGATTTTCAGAGTGTAAAAGTGGCTATGTTCTGGTCACCAGAAGACTTCCAAGCCCTCTGAAGATGACCATGGAGTGCCTGTTTCACTCACTCCCCTACTCTCTCTGCCTCAGGGACCCAGTGATTTGGGGTACCTACTGGAAATCAGTGGTGTAGTTTTCATTTTATTTCCCCTGCCAAATCAGAGACAGCAGCGTGATATAATCTGTATAAAGCATCTAGCCCACTTTTTAACACACAGTATGGGTGGCGCAGTGGTTAAAGTGACAACTGCTAACCGAAAGGTCGGCGGTTTGAAACCACCATCAGCTCTGTGGGAGAAAGTTGTGGCGATCTGCTTCCGTAGAGATTTATAGCCTTGGAAACCCTATGAGGTCACTATGAGCCGGAATTGACTCGATGGCAGTGGGTTTTGTTTCTTTTTTTTTTTAATTTTGTATGGGTTTAACAATCGTTAGTTTTCTGCCAAGGGTATCCAGAAGGGATATTCCCAAACTTGAGGTACACTTTAGTAGGAGACCTTCCTCATGGTGAGGTTAGCAGGAAAAGGAGAAAAGAGTTACCACATAACAGAGTACCTGACAAAACTACACTTTCCATATGGGTGACAATACAGTTGGGGAAAAATGGGCCCTGGATGTCAACATTCTAGGCCTTGGTGAAATGAGGATGCAGGTCTCACCCTGTACTTCCCTTCTTCAAAAGTTTCAGAATTTCCCCCAAATGCAAGGCTTTCTGAGTTTACTTTCAGGGCCTCTGAGTGATCCCCTGTGGCTTACCAGAGCAGACCTATATAGGTCTGCACATGAGCGTTCCCACCCTAAAGTAATCTGATGAAATAAAAAATGAAGTGAGGGCAAGGAAAGGAAATCTGGTGAAACTCTCACTCTTAACAAGAAGTTTTTTGTTTGTTTTTCAAAGAGCAGCTTAAATCTACTTCCTTCAGCAGTCACACATAAGCCTAGTCTTGAGTTGCCTCTAGCCTAAGATGCTCATCCTCATTCACAGATCACCATCAACTACAAAAAGCCTCCCCTACATGTTTTGTAAACTATAAAGTGCTGAGACACATTTGAGCAGCTCTTGCTGAAGGCCCTGAACGCACTTTCTTTGTATTCTAACCCAGGCAGAAAACTTGGGAAGAGTTCCAATCTTTAGGCTCTTGCACAATGTTTCTTCCCTTTTTGTCAGTGCAAACGACGACAAGCATTCATTTTTAATTAATTGCCTTTCTTAAGGATGAAAGCACCATTCACTTTTACAACTGTATCAACTTAAAATAGCTGCTCTTTTGAGCTACCCCTAGGTGATGTGTCTTTTATAATTGGAGTGGACCCTATACAACTCTCCTCCCTGGAAACTTTCACCAGGGACCACTGGATCTTTAATGACTCAGACAAAAAATAAATAAATAAATAAGTTGTGTGCCAAATTTATGAATAAGTAGGAGGCATCTTGGACATGGGCGGTGGTGAGAGGGTCTTATCACAATGGCACCTATGGCAGATTCTGTGAGTTGCCTGTTTTCCTTGCTAATAGAACTCTGATTTGGGGGCTGGGAAAAACGAGTTGGCAACAATGTGACCAGCTCCAGGGAGCAGCTCATGTGGCTCTAAGGCTCTAATGCAGTCATAAAATACTGTACCCTGCTTTTCCAGCCAGTCCTGGCTAATGAGATATAAGAGAAAGATTACTGAGGGGCTTCTGGGATAGCTTTTGCTTTCCTGTTAAAAGGAACAGATGTATCTGGCTCCACCCTTCTTCTGGCTTTGAACATGGCTTTGATGCCTGAAGCTACAGCAACCATCTTGTGTCCATGAGGAAACAGGCACCGCAACAGAATTGAAGAAGCAATGACTGAGATACAGTCGAGCTGTTGATCCCTGCCAGACTTCGTGTTAGGTAAGAAAAATAAATAAAACCTTTTTGTTTAAGCCACTGTATATCAAGCTATCTCTCACTTGAAGATAAATGCATTCCTGAGTCCACCATCTGGGCTTCTCTAACATGTTTGTTGGATCTTGGCCAGGGCAAACTAGAACCATTTTAAAAGCCGACTAACATCCTCTATGTTATCAAGAGCACAAGGCAATTGTGACAGCTGCTGTTTCTAGTCACTTACCTCCTTCCAAGGCCTAGAGCAGTATTGTTTCATCTTCTCAATCACCATATCCTCACTGGTGACTTTATCTGATGTCAAGTTTAAAAACTTCATCGTATAGTAATAAGCTGAAAATGCCTGCAGGAGAAAAAAATGAAGTTATTGGCTGTGTCCAACACAGAGAAGCATTGAGCTGCTCAATGACTCAGGTACCTGGAGATCTCTGTTGAGTGACTTAATGCACCAAGCAATACTCCAGACCCAAGGGTGGTTTCCTTTTTGGAAGAGGGATCTCTGTGCTGCTGACATACATTTCTGAGCCGCTTGGCAATTAATTTTCTCTATAATCTTTCTAAAATCTTATTGTGGTAAAATATATATAACAAAAAGTTTGCTATTTTAACATGTACAATTCAGTGATATTAATTACGTTCACCATGTTGTGCATCCATCACCACTATCCATTTCCAAAAGTTTTTCATCACCCTTAATGGAAACTCAGTACCCTTTCAGCAATAACTCCTCATTCCCACCTCCCCGTAGAACCTGGTAATCACTAATAAAGTTTTGATGCTATCTATTTGTCTATTCTAGATATTTCATATAAGTGGGATCAAAACTATTTGTCTTTCTGTGTCTGACATTTTATTCAGCACAATGTTTTCAGGATTCATCCCTGCCATAGCATGTATCTGAACTTCATTTCTCTTTATGGCTGAATAATATTAGATTGTGTGTATATACCACATTTTGTTTATCCATTCATCTGTTGATAGACACATGGGTTATTTCTACCTTTTGGCTATTGTGAAGAATGCTGCAGCGAACACTGAAGTGCATGATCTGTTCGAGTTCCTGCTTTCAGGACTCTTGGGTATACGCATAGGAGTGGATGCTGGGTCACATGGTAATTCTATGTTTAACTTTTTGAGGAACTGCCAAACTGTTTTCCACAGTGGCTGCACCATTTTACATTCCCACCAGATGAGTTCCAATTTCTCCATATCCTCCTTAACACTGTTTCCGGTTTTTTTTGTTTTCTGTTTTTTCTGGTAATAGCCATCCTACCGGGTTTGAAGTAGTATCCCAATTGTAGTTTTAATTTGCATCTTTTCATGTACTTAGAAGCTATTTTCATATCTTTTTGGAGAAATGTCTATTCAAGTCCTTTGCCCTTTTTAAAACTGGGTTGTTTGCCTTTTTGTTGTTGCATTGTAGATGTGGGCATATTTTAAATATCTATATATATATATAGTCAGGTTGTCCTTCAAAAAGGTTGGATGACTTTACATCTGTATGAGATAGCCTTTTTTTAAATCAGAAAGCCTACAATATATTCTATATTTTATGAATCCCAAATATGGCTCTTCTGTGTGCTCCCCAAACAGGGTTATTAATTTCCTCCAGAGCCTGGAAACATTTTCTTTTGAGACTCCTGAAGCATATTTTTGTCCTCATTCTTCCTAAAATCATCACCATTTTCCTATACTACAGAAACCTGAGCTTTTGGATCATAAACCTCAAACAAAGGCATCTAAAGATAAAAGAGATGATCTTTCAACTTGGGGAAAAAACCGTCAGCGACCTCCAAGAAACAGAGGAGGTATATACCAAATAATTTTAAGAAAGATGACTAAGGTCACTGAAGTTCTGAACTCAATACTAATGAGTGTAAAGAAACAAGTTTAGATTCAATAGTTAGAAGGAAAAAAGAAAGTTTAGATTATTTTGGGTAAATTAAAAAAGCTGAAATATAGCCAAAAGTTGGAAGTGACTGAACTCAGCCTAATAAAAGTAACTTCCTAAAACTTAGAATTATTCTAAAATAAAATAGAAAACATTGTGATGTAGTGTGCTTCCTGTCATTATAGATATTCCAATTGGTTGGAAGACCTTCTGTGGCAGAATAGAAAGTATTTCTTCATGAGATAGGGGTTAGATAGCATATGTGTTAAATTTCCTTTCAACACTAAGATTCTGTAGTTGGAGTTCAGCTAGGGCCAAGGACAGAATTAATGCAAATCTATTAATATCAATAAAGATAATAAAACAAAATTATATCTGAGCTGCGGAGAATATATTTAGAGCAGCTTACGGAAGTGTGTGAATCACTGGATAGCTCCCATAGTTAAACCTCTGAATCAAAGAAGAGTGAATTGGTGACTTTTTTCCGGATGCTAATACAAAAAGGGAGAAGATCTCAGGATGACTGGAAACATCAGAGTTGCCTGAGAAATCTGAGCTGCAACTGAAAGAAAGCCACAATATCCCATTTCAAGCTTATCATAAACTTGTAACTGCCAAACTCTTACAAAGAGGTAAAGGAGTCAAGAGGAAGACACATTTCTTAAAAATTGATAATGAGACAAGATTAATGAAAAAAAGAGAATATGTCAGAATAGCTGCTGGTACTTTGGGATTTACTAACAAACCATATCCTGATGACATACAGCTGCATCAGACGAGGATACTATGCTTTATGCAAAATACACTCTGGATAGCGGTATGAACAAAAATGCACTAGTACTGTATGTGCTTCCATTATTAGGTAACTTAAAGAAGTGAGGTACATGCTCTTCTGTTTCGGTTCCACTTTTGCCTTCTAGAATATTAGAGGCAAGTCTTCTGCCCGGCCCACATGGGAACCATTGCACCATTTGCAGATCTCTGAACATACTTCATTCTCTCTCATATCCAGTCTTCTGTGCATGCTGGTCCTCTCTCTAGAATATTCCAAATACTAAAGTTCTTTTACTGAGCACGTGTAATCTTCCAAATATTCTGGCAAGCCTGGAAATGGAAAGATGAAAAAGACACTATCCTTGATTTCCAGGGCCTCAGGACATAGTGGAGGAGATAGACATGTCAGCCTATAAAGACATACCCACTCTTGCCAGTCTACACTTACACAACTTTTAACTGACATGGAAATGAGATACATGCATTCCTGTTAAATTTAATTGAGTTCTTTTTCAGTCCAGCACTCTATCTTCTCTAAAATCTTTTATTATTTCTATGATATCAATTACCTACTGTTTTCCCTGCTCCCCCCAACTTCAAAGCATCTCCCAAGGAGTCCTTAGTCCACTCTAACATGGCTTCTAAAACTGCACTCATTAAAATCACCAGTGACCTCCTAAATGCCAAGACCAATGGCTAGTTTTTTATTCATATTTGTTTGACTTTTTGGCAACATTTCCTTTAGCAATTTATTCATTCAACAAATATGTGCCCAACTATGTTCCAAGAACTATTCTAAGCACTGGAAGTACAGCAGTGATTGAAACAAACAAAAGTCACTGTCCTCTAAGTGGGAGGCAGCAGACCTCAAACAAACAAATAATATATGAAGTATGTGGATGGTAAAAGTGCTATGGAGATAAAGCACAGGAAGGAGATGGGGAGTGCTATGGGGGGAAGGGGTTGAAATTTTAAATTGGGTCAGGGAAGTCTCCTTGGGAAGGTGAGATTTGAGTAAGCCTTGAAAGAGGTGAGGGAGTGAGCCCCTGTTAGTCACTATGTTCTGGGATCTCTCTCCTCTTGTAGCTTTTAGATCTCTACTTCCTCTAGTCCGTACATAGCCTTTGTGCAGATTAAGGAAGCCCACACAGTATATACAGTTCATTTGTAATTTCTTCCAGTCAAGATGCAATATACCAAACAGGGTCCATTTTTATCATGAGTACAGTTGCCTGGTAATACAACTGACATTCATGGGTTTCCAGGGTAACAAAGCCATAAAACCAAAAAAAAAAAAAAAAAAACCCAAACCGGTTGCCATCAAGTCGATTCTGACTCATAGCGACCATATAGGACAGAGTAGAACTGCCCTATAGGGTTTCCAAGGAGTGGCTGGTGGATTTGAACTGCCAACCTTTTGGTTAGCAGCCGTAGCTCTTAACCACTATGCCACCAAGGTTTCCAATTTGTCCATAGAGGGGGAAAAATGTTTTGTTAAACCATTTTCCAAAGTCCCAATCAAACACTTATTCACAGTACTTTGAAATACAGATAAAAATGAAGCATTTGTAGTCAAGAAGGAATAAGCACTACAGTCTAAGTATCGAGATTCTGCCCCAAACTGACCACTTGTCACCACCGCCCCCGCTCCCCACCACCAGAATTCTAACTTGATTACCCACCTAATGCTTCTACAGACTGTTTGTACCATTAGGCTGGCTCTTCCCCAGAACGTTTAAGAGGCAGTAGTAGCTTCACCTTCAGGGTTCTCTGTCTCTGCATATATGTCTGTATCTGCTTTCCACACTGATAAATAGACTTGACCTTTGACTCTTGTGGAGCATTCACTCCCTGCCACTGCCCTGATTGGGCTCACTGTTCTGATTTAACCTCAAGTTTCTATATACTTTTTGGTCTAGGTGAAGGACTCTTAACCTGGGGTTCGTGGATCCACCTCAAGGGATTCATGATGTCTTTAAAATTGTATGCAGAAATTTCAGTATACCTTTACATGTCCCTTTTTCTTCTTGGAAGATCCTTAGCTTTCATCAGATTCTCAAGAGTCTTGTGACTCTTTTGAGGGTTAAGAGTGAGTTAAGGGTTAAGAATGGCTGGTCTAACCGGGAGTAAAGGAGAATGAAGAACACCAAAGACACAACAAAAGTATTAGCCCAAGAGACAGAAAGGCCCACTATAAACAAGAGACTGCATCATCCCGAGACCAGAAGAACTAGATGGTGCCTGGCTAGCACCAATGACCGCCCTGACAGGAAACACAACAGACAGTCCCTGATAGAGCTGGAGAAAGGTGGGGTGCAGAACTCAAATTGTAGTAAAAAGACCAGACTTAATAGTCTGACTGAGACTGGAGGAACCCCAGAAAGCATGGCCCCCGGACTCTCTGTCAACCCAGAACTAAAACAATTCCTGAGGCCAACTCTTCAGACAAAGATTGGACTGGACTATGGGTCATAAAATGACACTCATGAAGAGTGTGCTTCTTAGCTCAAGTAGATACATGAGACTAAATGGGAAGTTTCTGTCCGGAGGTGAGATGAGAAGGCAGAGAGAGTTAGGAGCTGGTTGAATGGACATGGGGCGGAAAGGAGGAGAAGTGTGCTGTCACAGTATAGGGAGAGCAATTAGGGTCACATAATAATGTATATATAAATTTTTGT